ATCAATATCATGATGCCAAATGTGGGAAATTCTCCGGCGAGCCACGGAAAAAGCTTGCTGAATCGAGAGATGAACAAATTAAGGAAACTCTCCAGTAATCCCAAACTCAGGATTGCATAAGTACTTTGCAGTTGTCATTGACTTCAATCGCTCCAGTTTTTACAGCCTTTTGGTAGACTAGGCTAAGAATGCACCCACATTTATATTTAGTCAATAAGCAGGCGTGTTTTTACCGAGAGATATTTTGGGTGTATAGATTTTGTCTGGAGAGTCTAAAGTTCTGACTGACGGCTTTCACTGACCAATGGCTGCAAAGAGAGACGCGGCCGGTTATTTTCCAATAAAGAAATAAGGACGAATACAAATGAGAAGTTTTTCTTCATCGGCCGTAAATAACGAGATGTATGGAAGCATATAAGTGATGTATTTAATTTGGGAGATCATAAAAGAGGCACGTAAAAAAGTAAAGAAAAACCAATGACTTATGTGAGATTGTTTTTTTTTCACGAGGGTGTTTTGATAAAAAAACCAAAAAAAAAACTTACTTCCTCAACTTTCCTATTGGAATCTTTGTTTTTCTTCTGACATTTATTTTCATTCTATCCTCTTTTAACGTTTAATCAGTCTACTATTTCTTCGTTTCCTTCGTCCTTATTTATCTTAATACTTGACTTCATTTTGTTTCCCCATTATTATTATTATTGTTTTTATTTTCTTTGATTTCTGGCGTGTAAACATTTCTTTCCGAGTCCCACCCAGAGACGTGTGGTTAGAAATGGCATCATGACACTTTCCACTGACAAAAAAAAAAAAAAAACACGAAAAAACAAAAACCCCCACATATTTGACATAAATAAAGCCGTTCGTAAAGTGTGGGCTGTACTCGTGAGAACAATTTTTTATATTTCTTTGAGGCATGGACTTCCAGGAACCCCTTCAATTAGTCTACTGGAATCTTTTCCAACCAATTCTAGGGCTCCAACTACAAAAAGGATTGTTAATGTTCCCATGTACCACATTTTTGAGATTTCGATTTTAAGGTTCTTGTATTTTGACAGTTTTTTGAATATCTTCAAAGATACATTGCGGTCTGCAGTGACTGCCATATCAATTAGGAGGCACAAAGTAACGCTGTGGTGCAAATATGCGATGCCAAATATACTCAACATTACATCTAGTCTGATAAGGGTACACTAATGACATGTACCGCAGCCATATCGAGCAGTGACAGATTTTGATAAAAACAGTCCATAACCTTGCAGGTGGCGCCCTGTTAGAAATACATTCAGATCAGCTAATCTAAACTCCTAAGAAGGTATCCGATTAAAAGTCTTCCCAAGTATCTAGTTGTAACTCTTTAGTCGCTCCCAAGCTTAAAAATACAACCCTCACGGCAAGCCGTCATCATGATTCCCGCTACTCTCTCTCATGAACTGAGATTAAGAGTGCGTCAGTCCCTAGAGAACATGCCTAAATGGTTAAGGATAGGAATATCTGTGACACTGAAAAGTATATTTATTGTACCTACGAGGTTGGTTTGAAAAGTGAATAGGCTCACAATGAAGGAGTGATACTAGGGCTGTGAAATTTTGCATGCATTAATTTCAACGCTTGTTAATAACTCTATTGTTACTCTCCAGATAAACCGACATTGGCTGTTCAACGAAGACTTCAAAAGTAACTAGTAGAGACTTCTTTTGAAAAGTGACAAAATCTGGCCGTGTGGCATTATCAAGTACCTGCAGGAAAAGGGTTTAGCCCCAAATGACCTTCATGCTGAAATGGTTCTTACATTAAGGGATGATGTACCAGATTTATCAACAGTGCAAATTTGGCAATTGTATTTAGTAGGGGAAGGAAAAGTCTTGAAGATGACCCAAATGTTGGACGTCCTGTAACTGCCACCACCGAGGAAAACATTGATCGTGTTTATCAAATAGTGATGGATAACAGGTAATTGACTATAAATCAAATAGTCAATACTGTTACCATATTCCGTGGGAGAGTTATATTCTACACAATAAATTTGGCATGAAGAATGTTTCTTCTCTGTGGGCGCCACATCTTCTGACACCTGATCAAAAGCGCATCAGGCTGATCACATCACGAGAAAATCTGATAATATTTGATGCAGACCTAACTGATTTCCTTGAATGTTTCTTAATCCATGATAAGAGATGGGTTCATCACATTGAGCTAGAAACAATAAATCAATCCATGCAGTGGAAATGCCCTTTCTCCCTTGCTCCACATAAGGCCGAGGTCGTTAAATCTGTAGGGACGATCATGACCTCACCTTTTTGGGATGCAAAAGACATTTTTCTTATTGACTATTTTCAAAAGAGTACTATGTTAACTTGTTGAGAGTTTGACTACAGTTGGCTATCAAGATGAAACGTCCAGGAAAATTGACGAAAGGGGTCTTATTTCACCAAGGCAATGATCCAGCACACGAGTCCTTGGTTCCAATGGATGCTGTGCCTGATTGTGGCTTTTTGTGCTGGTTGATCACCTTCCCTATTCTCCTGATTTAACCCCTTCTGACTATCATCTATTCCCCAAGATGAAAAAAAAATATTTTGCTGAGAACCGATATCGCAGTGAAGATGATTTCATCTTGTCACGTGTGCGAGAAAAGACATGAGATAAATAAAAGCAAATTGAGCGACAGGAAAACCAAGTTTTATAGTGAAAAAAAAAAGATATTATTTTAATTTTAGTCATTTGGTCAGTGGCTAAAAAGGAAAAAAATAACAGTTTTTGTTTACTTTAAAGTCTAATTGGTTTACCTTTGGTACATTTTGCTTTTCTTTATCTACTTTCTTTTGTCGCATCGTGACAATATCTTTCGTTGATTACTTTATTTACATACAGAATGAAAGCTTATTCACCAATGCAACACCGATGGAAGACGTGTGTGGAATGCAAGGGTGACTATGTTGAAGAATAAATCTCATTTGATCATATTGCATGAGAATATTCTCATCAGCTTTTGAATGATTCCAGCCGTTCCTTGTATATTAATTCAGCAAAACAAAGAAGGTATTATTATTATTATTATCTTCTTTCGCACGTTTTTTTGTTTTCAATCATGGGTGTTCCGCATCAAGTTGATCATCCTCAGACAAAGAGCATCTTTCTCAGAATATATATGGGGCCAAGTAACGTAGAATTTTGAGCGATGGGATATTGGGTTTTGTTCGGATTTTCTCAATGCAGAACATTACGTTTGCCCGTATAGGCCACAACGACACAATAACTAGGGCAATATTGCCTTGAACATACTACATTCTAGCAACTAATACTGAGCACGGTGTATTTCTTATGCTTGTCAATTTCTTTCAACCTTGATATAATAGTCAACAGGAATAGGCACATCGATAAAGAGACATTTTTGTTTCAAAGAATATGATGTCTTATTTGGTGGCCACAAGGACCCAGTTTTTTTGATGTTGGAATCTTGCAAGAACTTGATTTAGTCGTTTTCTATCATCTTCCTTGACTTGTGATGGTACCATATTTTATCGATTTCACGCCCTTCTTCTTATGGGCACATTATTATTATTATTATTATTATTATTATTATTATTATTATTATTATTATCATCATTCGATTTCTGCTATGGACACACTACCTACCAAGTCTGCGGAAAGACCTAAGGTGCAGGTCGTGGTGTTGTTATTATTACATTTCATGTTAATTTTTTTTTTTTTTTTTTTTTATCTCCGATGAAGTTGCTAGCGTTACATAGACAAAGTTCTCATTATTATTATTATTATTATTATTATTATTATCATTATCATCATCATCATTCGATTTCTGCTATGGACACAACCTACCAAGTCTGCGGAAAGACCTAAGGCAGGTCGTGGTGTGTTATTATAGCCACATTTCGGTGAAGTTGCTAGCGTTACATAGACAAAGTTCTCCTTAGTGTGTGTGCTGTACTTAATAAGACAATTTTCTGTATGAGCACAGGGATTCTTTCAATGTGTTGTTTTGTTCCATTTTTTATAATTCCAAGTGCACCTATTACCACTGGTATTATTCTTGTTTTCAATTTCCACATTTTTCTATTTCAATTTCAGGTCTTTTGTATTTTGATAGTTTTTTCAAATTCCTTGGTTGCTATGTTACAATCCGCTGGACAAGCCATATCAATTAGTAGGCAAGTTTTTCTTTCTGGTTTTTGACAATAATGTCCGGCCTATTTGCTTCAATTTTTCTGTCTGTGTGGATGGTATAATCCCATAGAATGGTGACATCTTCTATTTCTGTAACCGGCGCTGGCCGATGTTCAACCAGTGTTTGCTTACACATTTTCCAAAGTGTTTGCACATTGTCCAGTGTAAGTATGCCCCACTCTATCGTGACGATTTTTATATTCATTTGGGGCAAGTATAGAACATCCTGAGATTAGATGGTCTATTGTTTCTTGGTATTTGTCACAGAACCTGCATTTTGGATCCACATTATTATGTATGATATTTGCCTGAAAATTCCTAGTGAAAAAGACTCTGGTCTTGCGCTGCAAGAATAAACCTTCAGTTTCAGACTTTAATCCAGATGCTCGTAACCATCGATGAGTATTAACTTTTATCAACATTGGGTTTATTTGCACGTTCTGGATATTGGCCATGCAGAGGTTTGTCTTGCCAGCGTTGTTTCATCTGTTCAAGGCTTTATCCTTGGCTTTCTTTTTCATATCTTTTGCTGCAATAGTTGGTTCTTGGCTTCTGTTTTGATTTACTACAGAATCTACTAAATGTAAATGTTGTTTGTATTTACTGCCTTCTTTTATTATTGAATATTTTTCTTTCTGTTTTCATGTTGTTTCACTAATTTTATCATCCAGTCATTTTTTGTTTCCATGTAAGTTAGTAAGCCAATAGTTGTTGTCTTGTATGACAATTCTAGCTGAATAAGACCTCTTCCACCTTCTTTACGGGGTATGTATAGACGGTCTACATCAGCCTTTGGATGATGCATCTTATATAGAAAGAAGCTTTCTTGTTTTAGAATCCATTTGTCTGATGTCATTTAGAGTCCAGTTCAAGATGTTGAAACTATATTGGACCACTGGGATGGCAAAAGGTTATTAATGGCCATAATTCTGTTCTGAGAATTCAATTCAGTTTTTAATACCAGTCATGCCCTTCTATAGTACTCTTTACGCACTATTTCTTTATTATTTTCTTTGGTGAATTCCTTTCTCTCATTTGTACTTATAAAGCTTCTCCTTGTTCTAAATCTTTTTTATTGTTACAGCAGGGTCTAAACTAATAGAGGAAGTTTGTTAGCGATCCTCGTAAAACTGTAGGCACATTTATCCAAATTGAATTTCATTCCAATGTCTTCACTGAAGCATTTACAGGACCTTCCAGCTCATTGTCATTCCTAGCATACAATTTTAAGTCATCCATGTAAAATAGATGGTTTATTTTCTTTTATTATTATTATTATTATTATTACTATTATTATTATTATTGTTATTATTATTACTATTATTATTATTTTTATTTTATTTCCTTTGATTTCTGATGTGTACTCATTTCTTTCCGGGTCCCGCTCAGGGACCTAAGTTTAGAAATAGCATCATGACATTTTCCACTGGAAAAAAAAACATTACATAGACAAAGCCCTTCATATAGCGTGGGCTGTACTCGTGAGAACAATTTTTTTGTATTTCTTTAAGTCATGGGCTTCCAGGGATCCCTTCAATTAGTCTACTGGAATCTTTTCCAACCAATTCGAGGGCTCCAACTACAACGAGGATTGTTCATGTTTCCATGTGCCACATTTTTGAGATTTCGATTTTGTTATCATTATAATTACTATTATTATTATTGTTGTTGTTGTTGTTGATGTTGTTGCTGCTGCTGCTGTATTCGTTGTTTTCTATCATTCTAATACTAATTTTCATTGATCGAAGTTTTCTTAATATTTCCTTTCCTCTTTCTCAACTTACAACCTTTTCTTTTTCTCTCTTTTTCTTACTTTTTTTTCTCCTTTTGCTCACTACCGCCACAAATCATTACCTTTGCTCGAGATTCTGTCAGAATAATTGTGGATGTCTCACTATCTGAGCGACGATAGCGTTACCTTTTGCATATGCATGAGTGTATATATACACATATGCATTACAGATAGATAGAAGTGTGTCTCATAAACGCATCAATAAATGCATACCAATATAATAAACGCATACTGCATATCATTCATAAGACTGAATCACTGATTCCCCAGATCCCGGTCTATAAAACCTGTATCAATATCATATGTTGGCTGCGTAAAAAAGACAAGTTATAGAAGCTCCTGATATTACAATAAAAATTTTAAAAATAATTTGAAGCGGATATTCTTCAGGCAAAACATTAAAATTCATCATCATCATCATCATCATCATTATCATCATCATCGGTCACATGTATGTTAGTAGGACCGCTGTGTAGCAGAGCACCTGACCAGTTCCCTCCACATATCTGGGTTGAAAGCCGGAGAGGTATTCATTTGTGCGTAGCGTGTCTTGGGCAAATAGATCTTGCGTAGCTGATCTCTCTCCAGGTCAGACCGTAGACGATGTCGTCTAACTTGAAGGCTCGTCTTGGTCACAGATATAGGTCCGTTGTTTCCATCAGAGGAACACTACGCTGTACCGTTGATTTCCGTATCCTTCCACCCCACTGGATGCATACATAGCTATGAACTCCGGACAGTCAATGTGCTATATGGTCGATGACTCTAAGAAGGTTAATCCGACCTTTTACTGATCATCCTATTAATCATCATCATCATCATTGTTATGGTCCTGTTCCTTGTACCACGGTGATAGTACAAGGTAGAACCAATAAAGAAGAACTCGAAGGCGGATATGGAAGAACACAGATATATTACAAACAGGAATATATACAGAGAAGTAGAAAGTGTTAGTACGAACAATCAGGTTTAGTAGTAATTGTCTGAACGCGACTCTGTTTCCGACTCCCTCTGACTTGACTGATTGACTCGCTCTCTCTGACTGACTGACAGACTTCTGACGGACCTCACTCCAGACTTCAGACTGAACTCAGACTTCAGACGGAACAGTATTTAGTCACCCCCTACCCCCCCCACGAGGGCATCATGTGGCACAAGGCCGGTTTAACGTGGGATTTCCGAGACTGTGGGCTCGGCCAAAAATATGCCCTTTGAACCCGTATAAACGGGTTCAGGGTTGTTCACCTCCCCGAAAGCCTCGTTCGGGTTCCTCCCCTCCTCGTAGCCTCGTTCGGGTTCCTCCCCGCCCGAAGGCAGAGAGTTCAACCGATCAGCCGGTCGTCCGACTTCAGGCTGAACGGTATTTAGTCACCCCACTACGAGGGCATCGTGTGGCAAATGGCCGGTTTAACGTGTGATCTCCGAGACCGTGAGCTCGGCCAAAAATATGCCCTTTGAATCCGTATAAGCAGGTTCGGCGTAGCCTCGTTCGGGTTCCTCCCCGCCCGAAGGCAGAGAGTACAACCGATCAGCTTGTCAGCCGGTCGTCCGACTTCAAGCTGAACGATATTCAGTCACCCTCCCACCAGGGCGTCATGTGGCACAAGGCCTTTTTAACGTGGGAACTCCGAGCCCTTGGGCTCGGCCAAAAATAAGCCCATTGAACCCGTATAAACGGGTTCAGGGTCGGTTTACCTCCCCGAAAGAGAATCCGCCCTTCGGCGTAGCCTCCTTCGGGTTCCTCCCCGCCCGAAGGCAGAGAGTTCAACCGATCAGCCGATAAGCCGGACGTCCGACTTCGGGCTGAACTCCCTGCTTTCTCTTGAGGTGCAGTATTTATTACGTATGGATAGTCCATTATGCTATTATGGGTAAGGTTCCATAACAATCATCATCATCATCATCATCAGTCACATGTATAGTAGTAGGCCCGCTGTGTAGCAGAGCACCTGACCAGTTCCTTCCACATATCTGGGTTGAAAGCCGGAGAGGTATTCATTTGTGAGTAGCGTGTCTTGGACAAATTAACAATGGAACGTTTCATAATAAGGGAACTGGTTTAATCACCGACTATGGAACAGGCAGTATTCGTTTACTTGGTAGCAGTAGAAGTCGTACAGTGACCTGGGTTCAATGTATTTTCTTTTTTAAACTAATATATTCTCCTCACTTGGGCGCTATCACACCTATCGACATCTTTAAAATGCAAATACTGCGAATCGGCCAAATACAAATTCAATGTCATCATCAAACCTCGTAACACTCATTTTGTTTCTTATAATGGTCAGTCAACCAGCAGGAGGGATCGGTCCCAAAAGAGTTGGACAATTCCTGCATTCCAGTTAAATCAATGCAGAAGTCAAAAAAAAATAAAAAATAAAAAATAATGATTAATTTTAATTTAAAGAACTTTGTAACTTTTAGGAAAATCTGAGTTTGCTTTTATTCACAAGACATTACTGACTTGAAATCGGTCTATTGAACTACTAATCTCCCAATGGAGTACAGTGTTCGATCCTCTCCATGCTAGGTGTCACTGTTGTAGTTTCAAGTGGGCTTTTATGGTGTGGAGTCGCTAAAACAATGCCCATAGCGGTTTTGAATTAAAAGTTGTCATTCTGCTATCAAAACGAAAGAGCAAAGTCTACCCTGCTATTTACCCGAAGAGGGGGTGGCGAAGAGATGGGTTCATGTCTTTTCCAAGGCTTTTTGTGCGAAAGTGAACGCAACGGATTCTGGCGGAATTTTAATTCTTCTCGCTGATCGCACTATATGGTCAAAAACTGCTACGTACACGTGACACTTACACAAAACGGCCGGAAAGACTAACTAGAGATCTTGATAAAATATATGCACATATAAAACTGCACCTAACACTCAAATTAATCAATTTTCCAGAAGATAAAAGGAAATTAATATAAGATAAAATAAATTTGAGATATATGTCATGAATACAAAAAAAGAATTAATAAATAAAACCAACAAAATATAAACACGTGACCTACAAAACTGTATGATCCTCAACCCAGTAAAGACGACAGAAAAATCCATGTTTTGATTGGTTATTCGATTGTACATTAATTTCACATGTCTAGCGAATCCGGAGAGATTTCTAAACACTTTATTACAAATTGGACAGAGTATGCTGGTCGAGTGTTTAGGTGGAAAACACGTATCTCCTGGTATATTTATCCCACAACAAAAATCGCGGACGCGGAATCAGAATCCGGGTAATAAAATGAGGTTACAATAAAGGTAAAAGACAATAGGAAAACTGTAATATTAGTCAATGCGTTTCGTCCAATGTGAAATTTTTCAAGGCAAAAACGAAATGAATTTACTGAAAACAAAGTAACTATTAACAACAAAACAAAATGTTCTTAGCTACTAGAAGAATTTAGAAAACGCTATAGTATTCATATTGTCAACTGAAAATTACGTCAAGTTCTATCACGTGTAGAAATATTGTTTTTAATTGTTGTGATGACGGATTCAAACAATTTCTTTTGATTTCTTAATATAGTTGCGTACGTACGCTTGTTAGGAATTCTGTTAGGAAAGGTGATATTGGGAAAATTCTGGGCGTAGATTAATATTTGGATAATATTCAATAGGGGCACTCTCGAGGATGTTCCTTCTGGGTGAGTTATTTTCTTTTTTTATGAGTGTAGCATTTTTAGGAGAAAGTCCTAGAAAAAAAAAATGAATTGAAATGTGAGTACGTGTGTGAGCGCGCGTGTGCGGTCCCCAGTGAGAAAGCATTTTCCTCGTTCGACCTACATCTTAGCGTCCCTGAATGAAAAAAGGAAAAAGAGAATAACAGAGAATGTTACTGCATATTTATAGGCTTAGAGAGCGTCCTCTAGGGGCGTTTTTAGGAAAGAAAGTGGGGTAACACCAAAGGTTAAAACTGAAGAAATTAGTAGCGTGTTGTCCTTTAGAAGTATTCGTGTATGGCTGCGCAAATGGCTGATCAGGCCAGCGTGAAAGACAGGCACGGTTAAAAAATATCACACAAAAATTGTATTGTTTTTATCCTATAGCCATTTTCGCCTTTGACTGGCCGCGCATGTTTCTTACAAGAATTTTAAGTCCAATATCTGTTTATATTTCTGAGATGAAGTATTGTAACTACTTGCACTATTTACATGGTTCGGAATGTTGTCTTCATCTTTATTGCCATATTCACGACGTTTCGGCCGTTGTAGTCTCAGGCCTTCTTCAAGTGATATACGTTGGAATTTCGAACGGAGCCATTTATTTAGTCCATCGGGGTAGATTGTTCTAATTCCAAGTGCCATGCCTTTTTTTTTTTAGATGTTTCAGTTTCTGACCACAGCAGAGGGAACAGAATCTAGGAGAGTTGAGTTACTAAATGAAATTAACGTCATCTAGACAAAAGTAAATACGTTTACTTAAATCTTGTCGAGGTGATTGTATCGTGGACATACAAAAATTAGTTAGACTCCTGCCACGGAGGGATATTAATTCTGTCACAATACACACGCACATGCACACACGAGCGCGCACACACACACATATATATTTAGTAACTAGGCCAATATTATACTAGCTATGGGTAAATAGCAGGACAGGCTGGGTTCCTTGTACCACTCCAAAAATGTACCTGACGTCTCCTACCATACACAGTGATGTGCAGATGGTGGAATGGATAGTGACTCAGAATGAGAAATCAGTTCGAATTTAATTCGAGTTCGTTGCATTCACACTTGAATTAAATACCCTTGGGAAAGGTATGAATCCTCTTCTCCCGCAGTTATGGGTAAATAACAGGACAGACCGGGTTCTATAGCCTTGGATGGCAAATGGTCTACCGCAGAAAAATAATGGCAACCTACGGCGGGGAAAATCTGCCTCGTCAGTCATGTATCTAAAGATACATGATCGCCTAAGCGTGTATCACGCATGACATATAACTGACTGACTTTTAACTCTATGCAATAGTTGTCTTGATTTGCACTTGTCACTGACTTTGATCAAATAAACGATCTAAGATGCTAGAAAATAATGCCATGTCCCTTGTACCACCCCAGAAAAGTACCTAACATTTCTTACCATGCTCAGTGATGTGCAGAAATCAGTTCGAATTTAAGTCGGGTTTGTTGCTTTCACTCTTGAAGCAAATACCCTTGAGAAAATATGAATCCTCTTCTTCTCCCCAAGCTAGGGTTAAACTATTATGACTTGTATCTGTGAAAATCATTGTTATCTCCAAAAACATTGTTAGTGAAATATTCATTGGCAAAAGAAAGGGTTATTCTTATAAGCCAAAACACGCTTCAGTTTTAAATGATCCACAAAGTGTCGATAAGCCGTTAAAAACAAACTAAGAAAACAATCAATTCTCGCCATGCTCTATCTTTACAAAAGCCAGATCAAATCAATAAATGGAGTACTGTTGCCTTATCTGGAATGGAGCTGTTCAATCGTCGCTTTCCAGCTTTGACCGAGTTTAAAATTTACCATTGGAGGCGATGAAATTCTTTTTTGTTCTACAAAACCTCTTTATTTTACCCAAACTGGGACCAGAATTCATTTTTCTTGTACGAGAACAAGAGAGAATTTATGAAAGAAAATCTTGTAAGTGGTTTTCAATTAAACAAGCGTACACATCCACTTATCCCCATATATATATATATATATATATATATATATATATATATATATATATATATATATATATATATATAATTTTAACAAGGAAATGTCAGAATTTTTTTTTATTTCATGGTTTCATATTTTTTAGTTCCTGAATAAAACTCATCAAACATCAACCTGAAAACATCCATACTCTATAAATCACCATATCTATCTATCTATCTATCTATCTATCTATCTATCTATCTATCTCTCTCTCTCTCTCTCTCTCTCTCTATATATATATATATATATATATATATATATATATATATATATATATATATATATATATTTTATATATATCTGTTTTTTTTTTTTTTTCATTTCTCGCTCTTTAATAATGTTTTGTTTTTTCTTAGGTAACTCACTGCCTCTTAGTGCTTTATTGCTTGGGATAAAATGATTTATATATATATATATATATATATATATATATATATATATATATATATAATCATTTTATCAATACAATAAAGCCACTAAGAGGCAGTAGTTACTAGTGAAAGAATCTAAAAAAAAAAAAATTATTAAAGAGCGAGAACAAGAAAAAAAAAACAAAAAAAAAACAGAAATTTACAAGACGAAGAGAACAATAAATGATGGAGATTTAAGAAGACAGACGATAAGGATTTCCATTGCATTTATATATTTGAACATAAAACTTGACTGGAAAGCAAGAAGCCTAAAAAGAATACCACAAGCGGGACATACTAGAGAAGAAACTATTACCATATACCTTACGGTTACATCTTGCCATTTCAGCCTTGCCGCCAAACTAGTGCTGTTGCTAATCCATTATTTTATAATATATTCTAACTTTCTTTCCAGCTCCAATAATTATTTATACTGACATGTCTTTTTGTCTATTTTTTCAACACAAGCATCAAAACAATTCAGGAACTTCTCTAATAATTCATGTGAAAAATTAAGTAAACAGAGTACGGGTCAAAATCCTAAGTTGCATAAAACATATAGCACACATAGACACCTGCACGTGTGTGTGTGTGCATGCGTGTAGGTGTGTGAGTGTGTGTATGTGTGTGTGTGTGTGTATCTGTATGAATGTGTATATACGTGTGTGTTTATACGGATTTTTATATGATTCCGATTCAAGATAAACATTGCACACACGCTAATGCACACACACACACATATGCGCCTGAGTGTGTATGTATGTATCTGTATGAGTGTGTATATATGAGTATATGTGTGTGTTTGTGTACACGGTTTTTTTATATGATTCGGATTCAGGATAAACGTTACACGCACACACATGCACACACATATATGCGTCTGTGTGTGTGTGTGTGTGTGTGTGTGTGTGTGTAATGTTTATTCTGAATCCGAATGTAGACATTAATTTAACGTTGCTTGCGCCGAAAAGCAAGAGTCAACATCACGTAAGAACTGAGTTCGCTCAGCTATTAATGGCCTGGAGGAAAATAAGAAAAGAGAAAGCGAAAAAAAAAAGCAATTCTTGCAGATCACTGTGAGGTTACTGATCTCGTTCCTCACTGAGTGCACCACCGGTGTGACCCCCTCCCAGCGTGATAAAGTTAAACTGGGGAAATATTTATAACTTCCTACATAATACGCTATGTGTAATTTTTGCCTGCATTCTTTTTTCTTTTTTTTTTCTGGGATAAACAAGATATGTAATATATGTGCCTCCTGCCCTGATTTGAATGTCTGTCATGAAGGTAAACAGGCAAGTGACATATACACAAGCCTGAAAGTACTACTGACTGGTCAGTGTTTGAAATGAACTCTTCAGATATCAAGTCAGGCAGAAGCAGCAAATAGACCACTGATCCCAACGAGAAATACCGAGACATACGAATATAATCACGTCACTTTTGACGAGAACTGTGTCTATTTCTTTATTCAAAAAATAATCATTCATACTTGAAAATCTAATAATAGTAATGACATAAAATATGTCACAATTTCTTACTATATAAGCAAACTAGTCTCTCTCTCTCTCTCTCTCTCTATATATATATATATATATATATATATATATATACCTAAGTATAGGATTGGTTGTATACGGAATAAATTCAATAAACAACAAATACTATTCTTAAAAGAGTGCTCAATACAGAGTAAAGCAAATAAATATATATATATATATATATATATATATATATATATATATATATATATATACCAAATTCTATCCGTAACAGACTCGTTGATAATATAAATATAACAGTGTCATCCACATGTAAAGCAAGGTTAAAAATAATGGGAGCATTATTAAGAAAAAAGAAAAAGTAACACACAATAATATCAACTATGAACACGGCCACAATGTGCTGACCGTGTTTGGAATATAAAAATGTCCTATAACTAGATACACACATAAAACAATTCATATATTCAGTTAAAAGTAAAATAAATTTCATCCTTGATAATGACTAAAATTATAGCTGAAAGCGCTTGGATATATAAAACTTTCGGCCTATTTTTACATATATTTCTGAAAAGAAAGAAAAAGTAACACACGAACAATGATATAAAACATTAACCACTGCACCTTGTCATTTCGTTTTTAAGGAGACTAGTATATATATATATATATATATATATATATATATATATATATATATATATATATATATAAATGACATTAGGAAAGTGTAATAGTTGCCGACGTGTTTTGTCAATGTGGACTTTCTCAAGGCAAAAAACGAAATGAATTTATTTAAACAAAGTAACTAATAATAACAAAACAAAATGTCCTTAGCAACTGGAAGAATTTAGAGAACGCTATTTTCATACAGTTAACTGAAAATTACGTCAATTACTGTCACGTGTGGAGATATTGTTATAATTGCTGTGCTGACGGATTCAACCATTTTCTTTTGATTCCACGATATTGTTGTGTACGTTTGTTTGGGAGAGTAGTAATTCTGTTAAGAAAGGTGAAATAGGGAAAAAGCTTGGGCGTAGATTATTTGGTAATATTCAATGGCGGCACTCTCGAGGATTTTCCTTCTGAATGAGTTATTTTCTTTTTTTTTATGAGTGTAGCATTTTTAAAATCAAAATTGTCGTTGAATTTTTTTCTATGTATGACTAGTGCATTAGTTAAGTTGATTTTTTTGTGAGGTCTCTTTTGTGCTCATAAATGGTTAGGCTAGAATTCATGGCTACATCTAGCAAGCTCAACTCTAAATTGATGAGATCTCGACTTTACTCTAGTTCTAGGTACCCTAGCGAAGAGATCATTCGAACAATTACCATGAAAGTATTTATAGAAAAGATACAGAGAGGCAACCTTGCGGATAGATCTGGACAGAATTAGATGAATATCACGTCACAGCTACTTAAATAAATTGTTTTTATAACTCTAATTATAAATGTTCAAATATATAAATATACATTTCTTTTTCTTTTCTATTTTTTGGCACAAGACAAATAATGTTAGACTTTTTGTAACACTTTAAGAAACTTCAATGTCGTTAAGAATAGTCGCCTATTTCTCTTTGGCCATGTGGCAAAACACCAGAATTTTGAATGGTGATTTTCAAGTATCTGTCTATATTTCTGAGATGAGGTGTTATGTACACTATTTACATTATTCGGGCTATTGTCCTCATCTTTGTCGCCATATTTGTTACAACGTTTCGGCCGTTGTACGCTCCGGCCTTCTTCAGGTGGTTGGAATGTCGAACTGAACCCTTTATTTCGTTCACTGGGGTAGACTGTTCTAGTTTCACGTGCCATGTCTAATGGATGTCAGTTATCTCCTGTTAATTCCACTCTCAAAGTTCTCCACCGTCAAGTATTGAACTCAAATTCTTTGTGATTAGTTAGATCCAGTGACAGGACTCAAAGAGTGTGAGTTCAATACCTGGTTAAGGCGGTGGAGAACGAAATCGAAATAAAAAGTTCAGTTCGACATTCCAACCACCTGAAGATGGCCGGAGCGTACCACGGCCGAAACGGTGTGATAAACATGGCGACAAAGATGAGGACAATAGTACGAATAATGTAAATGGTGATTGACAAGGCCTGTAAAATATTACTGGTTGGCAGACTTAAGCAGCCTAATAATTATAGGGTACTGAGTCTCGGTAAAAAAAAAAAAAAAAAAAAAAAACTTGTTGTACTGGACGAGTTTGAAGCAAGGTTATTCCGAATACTTTTAGCGCCAGTAAGATTGACGTGTTAAAAAACTGTATTTATTGAATTACAGTTTATTTATTAATTCATAGTTTATTTCATAAATCATAGTTTATTGGAAAATCAGTATTATGAGCAGTTGGATTACATTTCATTTATAAATTTTAATTTCAAAAATAATTTCAAATAGACACTTTTTTAAAATCTAGATTATTTTTATTGATCAATTCGTTTTTTACGTCTTATCAACCCATTTCTGGTTATCTATCTATCTATCTATCTATCTATCCCAGTCCTGTTCCTTATCTATCTATCTATCCCAGTCCTGTTCCTTATCTATCTATCTATCTATCTATCTATCTATCTATCTATCTATCCCAGGCCTGTTCCTTATCTATCTATCTATCTATCTATCTATACCAGGCCTGTTCCTTATCTATCTATCTATCTATCTATCTATCTATCTCAGGCCTGTTCCTTATCTATCTATCTATCTATCTATCTATCTATCTATCTATCTATCTATCTATCTCAGGCCTGTTCCTTATCTATCTATCTATCTATCTATCTATCTATCTATCTATCTATCTATCTATACCAGGCCTGTTCCTTATCTATCTATCTATCTATCTATCTATCTATCTATCTCTTGTTTTTCTACGGCTTTTCAATCATTTACAATTATTTAAAGCCAGAGAATATTTTTAGGCTGTGAGAATTTTTTGGAGATAATAATAATAGTTTAGTAATAAAAGTCTTAAAAATTAATTCATAGCTTGGAGGAAAGGTGAATTCATACCTTTCCCAAGGGTATTTGCGTGTAAGTGAAAATAAGGAACCCAACTGGAATTGGAACTCGGCTCTCCGATTAACAATTCTAAGCCATTATTCATTACATCTCCGCACATCCAAGCTTACAGCAACTGTTAGTCCTAAGCGGTTAACTATCAGACACGACATTGCTTAACTTCGATAATCTTATGAGAACTGGTGTTTCAAGCGACTGTAATCCAAATGCCGATTTTTTTTACTTGATATTTTTACGGCAATAAACACAGACATAATACTGATTTTGGTTTTCTGAGGACGTATAAGTTAATAATCGACATTAAACCTTAATGTTTATGGCCCCCGTTAGCCATTGCGCATAGTACAAATATAAATGTAACAACACGATTATTTTTAAACCTTGATTTACCTCTAACGAAATTTTTTTTACCAGTAAATTCTAGATATTTTACAGTGCAACCTCGGTTCACGAACGTCTCACATGTCGAACAAATCGACATAAAAATGCCTCGGTTATCGAACAAAATTTCGGTTTTTGATCAACATTGCCGAACCGAGTTAACCCGATCGGAATCATTTCTGAGTCGACCGCCGTGATGTATACATTCGGATGTTGTGTTGTGCTTTTCTTTTCTAATTTTTCCAATTTTATCGTACTGTGACTTTTTTCTTTATATTGATTCCTATTGGAAAAATGGTTACGGTTTACGAACATTTCGGGTTACGAACGGACTTCAGGAACGAATTAAATTCGTGAACCGAGGTCCCACTGTATTTTATTCTTCTTACAACAATAAACACAAGCATTATACTGAATTGCTCTTTTTCTATGAACTTGTAGATTAATAAATGATATCAACAGGTTCATTTTTATGACCCTTGGAAGCCATCGCTTACAACGCGTATTATTTAAAAGTCATTATTTTCTGGTAACCGTGAGAA